ACCCCGTCATATTGCAGCACTGCTTCTGACGAGGGGGAGAAGAAATAGTAGTCAGATCATAGAAATTACGGAAGTTCTAACTCAATAGAAGCAGAGTGATAGAATATGGTTGGGAGGTCTAAAACTAATAAGTTTATGAAGCTAGAAAGAGGCAATATTTGTTCAATCTGAATTATGGCTATCATGTGGCATGGCTCATTGTATTCGAGGGATGACGTGCTATCTCATTTGGCATTTGGCATCTGTAGGTTGTTTTACTCTATACTCCTTTGAATGAGAGATGTGGTACGCACTGTTGCTTGCCGAAGCATGGAGACGGTACAAGTGAAAACACCCCTTCCTCCTGCCATTTGGACCTTTCCCGGTCGTATCACAATATCTTACTCGGCACGCACCTGTATCCGGGAAGATTCTGTAGAGTATTTTATCCTTGCAAAGGATAACATGGAATAATAGCGTTATTATTTTTTCATTTCATTTCCGGTCCTCCTATCGACGCTCATGGGATCTCCGGCCTCCGTTTCGTGAATAGAACAAATTGGCACCTTGGGTCAACCTGGGACATGATTGGATGAGTTGTGGCGGGTTGAGCTCTGGCCGAGCTGGGGTGCTGTTGGATCAGCTTGATTGTTACTAGAGTTAATCTACCAAAGGGTTGGGTGGAGTGATTCAGCTGCCGACGCAGAAACTGTTGTTTCGGGTTCTGCGCACAGGAAGACCTCGATGCGCTTGATGCGCTTGATGCTTTTTCCCTATGCACGGCTGATAGAAAATTGACTGGAAAGTATGTGTTCAAGAACCCCTCCCAATCCTGCGGCCGAATGCATCCTCTACAATTTTTCTTCTCCTTCAACTGAAAATAGGCCCGAGGGGAGAACAGAACCTTGGGGCGTATCTAGTCTCCATATTGAGAATTAAATGAAGGGTGCAAAGGTGAAGTCGAGGGCGCAGGCTCGAAAGGATGATCTTGGCTCGATATATTTGATGCACACTCATTATTAACATAAACGGATCTCAAATTGCACTTAGATAGTCGGAGTGCAGAGCTAAGTGGATTGAGGCATTTAATGTATGCAATGGTGGGTAGTAGTTCGTGTCTGCATTGGTCGCTAGAGAGAGGAGATATTCGTGGCAATAACTATGGGGTTGGGTAATGTCAGGAGATAGGTTGCAGGGGATGTGGGGCTGCTTGGTGTTGTTGTGAAGTTTCTGCCCAAACGTGCGCAGTGGCAGCGGTTGCATGGGAACCGGGTATATGCAGCCACGGGAGCTAGGGTGGTGTACGCGCAGCGCGGCTGCGGGAGCTCCCGGTATTTCTACAGTTATTGGTACTGGGCTCGCCTTCTCCTTCTCCGGGATGAGCATGCTGGTATGTGGGGCGGAGCGGGGTTTGTGGGCAACAATTATGAGTGTGTGGGACAAGAAGAGCCCATCATAGCTTCTTTTTTCTATGGTGGGAAAAAGTTCGGGCGATCTCTTGGCACAACAGTTTCTTTCTTCGTGATCCTTGGCTAGCCGATCAGTCGCAGAGCCAATAGGAGCATGCTATCCTGCGACCTTATTGTAACGTTATTGCGCCTGGAAGGGTGTTAGACATACTCAAGGAGAAGTGAATCATTTGTCAAATCTTCAAAGCGGAATTTTCGCTAGATTAGAGCTCTGAGTTTAATACTTGAGAGAGAATAGATAGCGTGCCGTGCCATCAGGAGCAGTTTCTGCTCTTCTGAATTTCCTCTTCCTACCGTTTGTTGGACCGGACCCAATTGAGATTTCTGGGGCTTGAATATTTGGGTATGTTTTTGCTAATCCCCTCCTTTGTCTGAGAAGCTTCCGTTCCCAATATGCTACTCAGCACTCGAGTACGAGTATCGATAGTGGAGCGTGGGTTCGCCTCCATTATCCTACGAATAAATACCCGGGAGTGTTACCTGGCACTGTGCAACCGCCCACCACCACCATGGTGACGTATATCATCTGGATTACAGGAACATGTGTGTTAGCCTAAAATTTCCGCGCTTCCGAGGCCAGTCAAGGTTTGTGGAACGTGGCTAAGAACTCAGTGGGGTGTGCCGCCAAGCCTTGCCGGCTCACCACGGGTTCAAACGTCGTACCGCAGTGCGCGGGTCGTGGGGTGGTATTAGAGACTTTGCGATTTCGCATCCAGAGTCAAATTCTAGCGATCTCATTGGCCCAGAACCCTGTTTGACCCACATCCAGAGTCTTTTCGCAAAGTCCCTATTGTTTATAAGAACTGGATGAATATTGAAGTCTAGGTTCTAAACTGATCAGCGAGGGCACATCAAAGTGTGGAAGCTGCGGGTAATGTAATAGGTGTAAGTCTTCCACCTTAACAAGGGGACAAGTTAGGATAGGAGTTAAAGGAGGGGCTTTGCCTTCTTTTAAGGCATTTTAATTGGCTTTGGGCTAGGGGGTGGCAAGAAAGCTGAGAGGGCGATTACTCGATTCTCACAGCAAATAGAGAGATATCGGGATAGTTGTAATAGGAAATTCTTGACCAAAGACTAATGGATGTGTGATAAAAAGGAATTTTTTGTCATTCTAGGTCTCCACCGACCATTCCCTAATCTCTCTATAGAACATCTTTTCCACCCATCTCTCAGAGTCTTCGCGGCATAAGGCCCTCACAAAACCCATACTTCTCTATATTCTACTCGGGTAATGACCTCTCATACTTCCTTGAAATTTGGACAAACTGTGTCTGCACATAGATTTACCTTTGCCGCAGGAGATAGATGTGCTGCTAGAAAAGAATTTGTGATCTAAGAACGGACGTGAACAAGCAATGAATATTTAATGTGACCCTTAATATCTTAACACGATTTATGGATTTTTGTCTTGAAGAAAACTACCAGTGCTACTGGGTGCTAATGATCGGTCATTTATGATAACTTGGGTTACTTTCTAAACCCCGGGTATTGTATGTTGCGGTATTTTATAATTTCCAGAGATTCATGGGAGCAACATTTTGTTGTCGCAGTTACTCTCAATGATCTGAATGGGTAGATATTTCCGCTTGAGGGCCAGACGTGGCACCAGCTTTAGTCCTTGAAAAAGGATGCCCGAGAGGCCCTGCAGGGCATGACAACTCTTCAGTGAAGTTTTGAATTGCCTGATAACCTGCCATATGAAGTCATGATGGCGCGTATCCTTTTGGCACTAATATATTCTTTCTTTACTCCCGCGACTCCCGGGTAATACCGTTCTGATGATCGTAACTTGATATCTTACATGTTTTCACCGTTCTATTGTTTCCGCTCCATGTCCTGTTTTTTTCTTTCTTTTTTTCGAGGATCAGGTGAGAAATAATCCATAGCGAAGCCATATGGGAGCGGGGTTTAATGGGAGTTGACCCGTATGGAGGAAGGTTAGGGTCATCACCTTTGTTCTCTCGATGGGGTTCTTGTCTAAACTAGTAGGTATATGTGAGGCATAATGAAATGATCTCGATCCTCCCATGGATCACTGCACATCTCTCGATTCCCCAATGCCTTTCCCCATTCCTCGCCACACACCTGCGATAACAAAAAAATGTCATGTCTGGAGAAACCTCACAGTGAATTATGATAACTCCGGAGTGGAGACGCCCACTTCCGACATCCGATGAATGCTCAAACAGCAACCCACTGCCCATTTCCAGCTTCCAGAAACCATGTTGCTCCTGTAGCATAACTTTTAATATTAATTTCTATCCTAGTGGTTCGGATGCACTGGCTTATGGGAATACAGTTGGATAGGAGAACTTGGAATACAAATTCCCTGGGAATTATAGTTTATCAAACCTCGCTATACTCCCCTCTCTAATTCCCATTGTGGCAGTGATCCGGAGAGTTGACATAGAAGGAAGATCACGGCTTAATGCCCATCTTCTTTCTAATCGCGCCCCTCTTCTTATAGTGTGCTCGTATGGTCTTGCATAGATCGTAAAGTCCGATTCCACTCCCTATGGCTTTTCACGTTCGCTTCCCTTCTGTCATTCATTAACTACTATCGTCCTCTCATATACCTACCCTCCCTATAGTTCCTCGGCTGTCTTACCCCCCGTCCTCCACTGTATCTCCTGGTTTCGGGACTTCGTAAGTGGGTCCTGGCAATCACCGTGAAGCCGGGAGTCTGCCACAAATTTAGTTTAGTCCAGTTTTCCCTGTAGTCCCTGCGGTACCCATAGGACCCCGGGAAGCTTGGACTACTCATTGTTTTTCATCGTAACTACTAACAATGAGCTTCTCTCGTATCGGGTGACAGTTTATCATAGAACTCATGCTGCTACCCCACCTTTACTTTCCTGACTTGCTCGGCATGTATTAACCTTGGGCCACCCTTTTCGCTACCGCCTGTGGTCTCCGGTTTCGCTGCCCCTGTATTTTTGGCCTTCTGATCATGGTTCTACCTTGCACCTCTTTGGCCTCTTTCGGGGTTTTCCTGGCTCTCGATCATCTGTGCGGTTTGTATTTCGATCTTCTAGTTTGGGTTTTAGTGGTGCATGAGAATCGGGTTAGCGACTGCAACACCTTGGTTGAAAATACTTCAAACTGGGTCCGGATATAGAAAGGATGGAGGACTTGTGGTGGCGGAATGGGGATATGTTTGTCAATTCGTAATCTTCACTGAAAGAGCTATGGGGTTGTGGGGGTTAGAAGTCCAAACTAGTTGCATAGGTGCTCGATCCAGATAGGCAGATTCGGGATTTAGGGGTGTTCCCTAGGACTGCAAAAAATAATTATAGGATAAGTTAGATAACTGGGTAGTCTAATTTAATATTGTTACCATTTGCTATCTCGCTATTGGTAAGAAGGTTGCCTTGTGCCCTCTCTGGATTGTTCATATGTACCGTACATAGGTTCAAGCCTTATTTCCACCCCTATTGATCACCTGCCTACTACCCCGCACGGTCTCACAGAATTTTTTTGGCAACCTCTTTTTACCATAGCTGAATATATAAAGGGCCGGTCATTCACTCTCTTGCTGCGGATTTACCTCTCAATCCAGAGATAAACACTGATATATTGAAAACTCTTCGAATACATTCAATATGGAGGCTATGCTTGTTCGGTCTCCTCTTGCTTCTTACTGCTTCACTTCCAACGCGAGAGCCAATGTTCGTGTTTGTTACCAAGGCCAACGCGGCAGGATTGGAATGAGTAGTTACGACGAAAAATCTGGTTGGGCGATAGAGGCGAGCCCCGGGAGTGCTCTCTTGAACAACGGAATTGCGGTCACGGGCTGGGATTATGGTGACGAGGTATGATACTTGGAATATCTATAGTATATAGTTGGGGGATATGATAGGATGCTGACATAGACTAGGAACGTGTCTACTTCATCGGGAAAGGTGACAAGATTTTTGAGGTATGCTATGAACAAATTTTCCGAAATACAGTTTATACCACTTACCAATACCTCATCTCCAGCGCCGCCGCAGCAACCGGGGTGATTGGTCGGACGGTAACTTTCCTCTAACTTACCAGGCAGCTCACTACTCCAACCTTGCTGCCATTAGTTTTGAGGGCAACGATGAAACCAGGCAAATCCGCGTCTTCTTCCAGGCCAAAGACAATATCATCCATGAGGTTTGCGGGGATGGTGAGGGAAATTGGAGGGAGGGACAAACATTTTCTGCCGCTACACCGGCCACTTGCATCGCTTCTTCCCAAGATCCTGATAGGGCCTACTACTATCGGTTGTTTTACCAGAAACCCAATACAGCCTTTATTGAGTATGTTAAGGAAGAGGACATAGAGTGGCAGGAGGGTAAGTTTTCTGTGGCCCAGAGACCAATGTCCTTAGTGCTGTTACTAAGCCCTACTATTCATTAAGGTACCTTTAACTCTGAGGCAGTGTATGATCCTGGTGCTTCCATTACTTGTACATCGTATGGAACAGACAGCCACCGTGTCTTCACGGTTAATAGCCACAACCGGCTTTGTATAACCGAGTGCGGTTCTGGCGATGACTGGTCTAACACACGGACGATCACACGCACTATGCCATCCTCCCCCACCACCGCCGTCTCAGCTATCGGCGATCCTGTGCCTGTTCGGGTTTACTTTCAGGTTCAGGGGAGTCAAATCACTGAGTGGGGCACCGACAATGATATGGTGGATTATGATGTGATAACGGAGTCTGTCCCAACTCAAGGTTCGGGATAATGGGTTTCTCTCTAGTGATGGGTTGGATTGATTGCTGGCCCTGGGTGTCGCTGTTTCTTTTTTTCTTCTGTTTTTGGTATGGGAATGGGAATTGTAGCCTCCGTCGTCGGGGTATTTGTCTTGAATAAGTGAATTTGATTTTTGGGTCAATATTTGGCTTTACCTTGTTCTGTGATCTCGAGTGCAAGATGGTTGATGAGAAGCCCTGGACTGGTGCCAAAGGGTGGGTCTGTAGAAATCATCTCGATTGCTTCCGGGCCATCGACTGATAAAACAGGTTTGTGCCGGCAGCTGCACTGAGAATTCTACAGACATTTTTCTTTCACCAGAATATAGTGTAATTCGACGGCATGATTCACATTACACGCACCTACTTTCGACTAACAAGACCAGATTTAAACAGGTCTATGCTCACGCCCTAAATTTATGGCCCCACTTCCGCCTGATTCTTAGTGCCTGCGTAGGCTGTGCTATGGGTAATTGGTCAGCGGAGCGGTTGATCATAGGGTGGAGTATTTTCAGATCCCGGCCACTTAATAAACATTCTTACTCAAAGACAACTGAAGGCGCAGATAAGAGATAATTTTCAATTCGTGCATATCTAAATCCAGATATAGCTTCTTCAAGTATACAGGGGGTGGGTGTTGTGGGTTAAGCTCTATCATTTAGAACCTCTGGGGTTATTTGTGCGTTTTCCCTCCACTTCCATCAGGTGACAGCTTTCAAGATATTTTTCAAGGGCGGTGCAGGATTTCCGGGCAGTGTTCTCAACCGTCCGGGGCCCCCGTAGGTCCCGACGGAGGGACTGCCAAGAGCCCGGGACGGGACAGGACGGCAACATACAGACCGTCCTCCTCCTTGAACTCTTAGGACGGTCGTCATGAGGAAGGACGATGAGCCCGACGATCTGAGACAACATCTGATAGGGGACTGCAGGTGACTACATAGGACCACCGGGGATCGTAGGGGATGGCGGGGGATGGTGGGGAAGGAGGGGGGCTGGGGGTTTAAGGGAGGGCAGAGGATGGTGGGTGACTGTGGGTGACGGCAAGGAACCGTCCGTGGATGGTCCTTTACTCTTATGTGTCGGGCAAGTTCAGGAAAAGACCTGATCGGAGGACACAATGCAGTCCGTTCTGGTCCTTCATTCCTACCTGTCGGGCATGTTGAGAAAATGACCGGACGGGACGACAAAATACCGTCCGTCCTGGTCCTGGTCCAGGACGAATGGACTGCCCCTTTGCGAGCACTATCTCCGGGCCGTTTAGACTTCATATATTCCATGTGTGTAGTTTGTGACAAGAATGCACTAGTTCAAGGGGATGTTTGGGCAAAAGAAAACCTCAAAGAAATACTCTGCGGGCAGATGCCATTGGAGAGCTCAGGCCTATTCTAAGAATTAGGAGGTTGTAGCCTGACTTGAGTTCCTTCATTCTATTATGAACAAGAAAGGTAATATTGATACATTAGTGATAACTCTATTTTATATATAGATATATCCACGATGGTGATAGCAAGCAAGCAAGATAAATTCATGCGCCAAGAGTGGGAAAGTCCAAGAAGAGGCAAGGTGGTCTTATTTTCTAGAAATAGCCTTTCATAAAAGTAGAACTAACTTGATGGCAGGTTGCAGGTAGCTGTTTTGTGCTGGTTCAAGTGGTGGGAAGCATGGCAGTTTGGAGACCTCTGTTCCCATGCCATGGCTTGGCTGCCCTTAGATGCAATCTTACTTTGACTAAAAGAGGATGATTGGTACAAATACCGTATGGTCCGAGAATAGAAGAGCGTTAACCTCATTTAGGAGAGTATTCAACCAAATATAACCTACAAAACACTGGTCTAAATCAGAGGAAAAAACATTTGAAATGTGGGCTGAACTGGAATAAAAGTACAAGGTTTTAATTAGTAGAAGGGAATGAGGGGAGTGAGATCATGGTTTGAAAATTGCTGAATTTTGGTATGGTTCCAGAAGACTAAACTCTGTACTAAGTTTCTCACAAAAAATGTGACAATTTTGGTGGAGATGCCAAGTGTAACACTTACTAAAAGTGTTACCCTCTCTTGCATGTGACCTCAAATGAAGCCAAAATTCATGTGATAAAAAATGAGAAACTGAGTAGAGGATTGAGACATATCATAATTAGCAGGAGATAGAGATTAATAGACAGATAGTATAGCAAATAAATTGGTGTAGGCAATTTAGATTTCTATTATGTAACTATCAAATATGAGTTATCACTTAAATTACAATTCTCTTAAGGCTATAGGGTGTAGAAAGAGTAGGGTAACATGTTTTAGTAAGCGTTACACTTGGTATGGTTCCGGAAGG